CATTCAAAGTAGGACACGCACAGTCAAAGCCCATTAGAAACACTTGACATTTATTCTACGTAATTATAGAAACTTGTGATAAAAATAGTTGCTCAGAAGTATTCTTCAGATGGGATCTCATTATAATTCTAGGTTTAATTCAATAAGTTTTCCACATTGAAGTTGAGTTATGAAAATAGTTGTGTTTGGCTTTGCTGCAGTAGCGTCAACAGCTCAAGCCTTGTCATTATCTGCTCCATTTGGTGTAGTTGGTACTCATTCTATTTCAACGGGGAAAATGTTCTGTGAAATGGAAATTTGATCTATTATACTTGTTATTACTCATTAATATGTCAAAATGTGCGTAGTTCTAGCTCTCAAACAAATCAGAGCTAGAGAGTGACCAGCTCAACAAAAATGAGTTTTTTAAAACAAAATAACCTACAACTGAGCTGACAATGAACTTTTGGTATGGAAGAAGGAACCTTGAGGAGCATTATTAAACTAACGCCACATTTGCTTCTATTTCTGCTCCCACTACGCAAGAAAAGCCAGGAACACCAGCTGAGATAGCATAAATTAGGAGATAATATAGATTTTTTGTACGCTACATATTTTTATCTTCTATCTAAAACACCAATTAGAGCGTCAGCCGTAGCCATAGCATCCGAACAATTGTCTGGATTGTAATGAACTATGAAGTGATGTGGCTTGCAATATTTGTTCAGATTTTCATTCCAGCTCGTCCGACTTCCGGCGCTAACGGATGTCATCTTGAAGAGAATACTTCCTAAAATACTTGCTTATTTGAAGTCATCTCCACCGCACTCTTCACATACATAGATCTGCGAGGATAGGAGATGATACGGGAAAATCTGGAAAATTTTCAAGAATTGTTTGGTACTACACATAAAATCTGGGAATTTCTTTACAAGGCTGTCCATTAGAGTGTTCACCCTTAAATGTATTTCATTCCAAGACAAGTTAGAAAAATTTGTGCTGATAAAAAAAAGAACCTACCATCTTACAAGCCATGAAAAAAAACATTAATGTAATATCCATTGAAAATTGTAATTTTAGTTCCGACTGTTTGCATCGATTTCATACCTCAACTTCAAAGCTTAAATTTTTGGAAGCAATTTTCTATCTAACTTTATAAAAGACTGTTTTCATATCATGAGTTCGCATTTTCCAATAAAATTGTACAGAAAAGAATAATGAAGCATTCTCCACAAGTTTACATTCTTGGGCATAGTTTTGGTGCGCATTTTCACACCTAACATTGCATAAGGCACTGGAAGTTCTTTATGCGAAAAAGTGGCAACAAGGGCGAAAAAATTCTTGTTAAGAATTTTTTAAGTATTCATTGTGAGAAAATTGCTGAATACCGATGCTAGCAAGAGAAGCAATGTAAGTAATCATAATATATAACGCAGAAATTGATGTAAGTTTTTCCGAGCAAATTTACTTGTCCTTAAAATGTTAGAGAATAATAAACAACTAAAGAATCAAACTATGACTTCAGCTCGGTTGCATTCATAATCTCCTTAGCGATCCTGTGATTCTATTGAGTCATAAACTTGTAATTTGAGCTGATAACTATGGTGGAAATCGAAAAATAGTTTCTAGAAAGTGGTGATTAGAAAGAGCAGCATTCGGGCTATTTGCCGGATACAACATTTTTTTG